AAATGGTGAAAATTGGAGATAAAATCACTTTCGCATAGGGAGATACTGATAATAACAGACTATCACCAAGAGGGAGAACTGCCCTAAACAAGAATGTCATCCATTCTCAGATGGTTCCCAAAAGACTATATACCTCTCTTGGGTTGTGCAAGGGTAAGTAAAGGGCTTGTCCAAGACTTTAACTGTGCCTGCTGTCAGTTTTAAAGCTAAGATTCATAGGAATAAAAGCAAGTGCTGTAGCAAACTCTGCCTTCTTTTGGAAGCAACAATGTAAGTAGTAAGTAGAAGAAAATCCTTCCTTTCAAGTTGCTGTCTCCAGTGTACCAAATCCCTTCTCTCTCTTTTCAAAAATACTGTCATAACAAGCTTTAGTCCCAGCCGCTTTCATCAGGAAGATGCCCAAACCAATGGAGTTGGAAGAGAGGGAAAAATAACTTGCAGGCACTGCAGCCTGCATTTCCACATCAAGTATTAAGTATATTAAAAGCAGCTAACAAAGGGAAGAGAAGGCGGCTCGTGATGAAAACCCAAGTGCATCTAAAGGAAGGGAAGTAATCCCCCGAAATGCCTCGTGAGGGTGTGGGCAGAGCAGCTCCCTCCACAGGTAAGTCAGCACCTCACAGCTGGTACCGGTCAACCAGATGACTGGTATGCTTACAAGCTCTAAGTAGAGCCAAGTCTCTTAAGCTTCGTGTGAAGGTTGAGCAATGCAAATGTGTTTCAGTATAGACTGTTAAAGCCACAGATTGATGTGACCCAGATTGACAAAACACAAGGAAATCTGAGGCAACATGTTAACTAGAAGAGGAATCGTCTCTCTCAAACTTTTCCATTTTCTTAAACGCTGAAGGAAAGCTCGACGCAGGATGATAATTTACCAGATGGTCAGTGTCAGAAAGAAGCTTCCTGAATATAGGCAATACTGACACTTTCTTAAGAAAATCTGGCAGTTCCCCCTCCTGAGGAGAGATGTTGAGAATTTCCAATAATACTGACCCAATTTCCTTCGGTAACTCCAGCACTGAGGGAATCTAGAGATAGCGTAGCATTGTATCCCCTTTTCCTTCTGAGGTGTTGCTCCATTTCTGTGGGTACCTCCTGTTCAGTGTGAATTAAAAGAATTTTTAGGTACCACTGAAAATACTGAACAGGATCTTCATAATATGTGGTAGAAAAAGATTTAGTAGTCCATTTTCCTCTAGCCCAAAAGGGTGGATGTTGTTTTTGTAAGCGATACAACCTAGATAGAGCAAATACCTCTCTGCTTTTTATACAGCAAAGGCATCAAACACATGTGACGTAGCCAGTCGGTTCCTGGTCTTGACTTCAGTCGCTCACCAAGTGCTAGAAATCACCTGTAGACAGAGATGTTGTTGTGTGAGGAAGTGTTACTTGTCGTGGAAACCGTTGCTGCTTTAAGAGGTTTATGGTCCACTGTTACAGATCTGATTTTCTGGATTGTTAAACTGCTGTTACAATTGGCAGATTCTCATACTAACAGAGTTGAAACTGTGTCCTCAAGAGTGTTGTTATAATTGAAATCTGCATACACTCCTATTTTTGTATGATTAATACTGGTGTAGATCCTAGGAGTTCATAAGGCTAAACAGTGGGAGGTAACTATTTGCTACCCTGAGTGAGTCCCATCTGTTTTCTTCTAGATCAGTATAAATTGTCTTTCTACTTGGTCGCTTGGAAAAAGCCATGCTGTATTGTTTTTCCAGAGAAAGGGAAGAGGAGAGAATGAGTTTGTTAAGCGTATATTTGAAGTTTAGTTACATATTTTAATTACCGTACACTCCAATCTGTAGGTTTGAGTTACTCATGTGTCTTGTTGAACCTTACCTCTGTTAGTTCTCAAGACCATAAGCCCTGGGGCTCTACTGGGACAGACACAGACCATAGCTTTCTTGAAGTGCAAGCTCAGTTCAGCTGCGTATCCAGGAAAATATTTTTTGTATTTAACCTGTGAGGAATTACACTCCAGAAGATTTCTTTTCCTCTGGGAGTAGTTTGAGAACACAGAACGACCTGAAATTGTGATCAGGCCTTAAATCCTAATGAGAGCTAGAGGATGGTTAAGAAGAAAACAAAACCTTGGGAGGCCTTTGTCTTCAGCTAAAATATTCTTTGAAATTCAGAAATGTGGAACCACGAACACCATCTCAGGTAGTAAGGCGATCACTGAAGAGCCGCAAGAAGAAACTACAAGCTGCATAACTGGCAGAGGTTTTCCATGCGATTGCGGTGAACCAAGCAGGCTTGGGATCAGCCAGTAAAACTGCCCATGCAAGTAACCTGGTGACCAGTGAAAGGAAGGAGCAGGACAAAGCCGCTTTCTATTCCTTTAGAAAGCTCTGGATGCGAGGAGGATACATGCAAGCACTAATCCTGGTAGCAGATGAATCAAAATCTTGGCAAAGCACGTTTTATTCCTATCAGTGGGCTGTCTCCTACAAGTTCCAGTGTCTGGTCTTTAAAAGTCCTTGGAACTTGCTGGAGGAAAATTTCAGTTGGAGCTGAACACAGCATGTTATATTTTGAGGCTTTGATTATTCAGGGCCTGACAGGCTCATGGAGATTTCATTGCCTCTGGGCAACATCTGCAGCGAAGCCTTGTAACAAAAGAATTGAGTGGCCTCACAGGGCTCCTTGATAGCCTGTATTGCATTAGAAGGAAGATGTGGTTACGTAGTCAGGGTAATTAATTAGCATTTCCATAAGCAGTCACAAGTCCTGTTAACCTTGTAAATGCAGGACGCAGGAATGAAGCACAGATGTGAAGACTCTGAAGATAAACTCTGCATGTGTGTGTTCACTTGATTTTGTTGATGAGCTCCACTAAATTCTTTCAAGATCAACCTTAATTTAGCATGGCTAAGGATGCAAATACACCCAACATCTGTTCACGTCTCTGTGGCAGCTCTTTGGCGACCAGTGCTACAGCAAGATCTTAAAATAAAACAATACAAAAACCCCTGCCACACTGAAGGGGGAAGCTGTTGGTCAGAAGTAAGATGTGGAGCTGGCTGAGAAAAGATATAGAGGTCTCTGGACTTTGCCTGCTTCAAATCAAATTCTAGTTCTGGTAATGAAAGCTGCATCTTGCCAGTTCTCGTCTCAGATTTTCTGCTACTGGGTGTCAAGTTTGCCCTTAGCCGGCTGACAATAGTCATTCTCTTGCAGGGAGCCTCATTTTCTGGTGAAGTTTTACTTCTGTTCACCCCCCACCTGCTCCCCACTTCTTCTTCCTTCTCCGTTGGCTTTCTCGTACTTTTGTCCTGGTCATGCGGGGGGACTTGTTTCCCCTTGAAGCACCATTGCTTTTCTGCCTGACTTAAACCCGTCTCCTGCAGAAACAGAAAACTGCCCAGCGTAAGTGGGTGTAGCTCTAAGTAACTCTCAAGGAGCTTGTTTTTCTGTTTCTCTGGTTAGTTTGTACAGAGTGCAGGTGTGTATTGTATTCGAGTTGTGCCTCCTAGCATTAATTACATACAAGGTGTAACAAGCCACTGCTACAGGAACGATTACATGAAAGAGTCAGTGGCTGGTGTCCGGGGCTTAGAGACTGGCTGTCCAAAGACCTGTTGTCTCATTAGATCCCTTTGCTCAGAGGGCAGAGCTGTAGCTTCATCACAGAGATAAGAAGGAAATTATTCTAATGGTTTCATTCAGAATAATTCTGCTGGTGATTTTGAACAAGGAAGCAGGGGGATAAATGCTAGAAGAGGCTGTTCTTTACACTGAATCTTGAGTTAGAAATATCTAACAAGAGGGGCAGGGTAGGATGGAGAGAACACAACTCAACCTCCTTTTCCTTTGTTCCTGAGTCATTTGGCCAGGCTCTTCCCATGGCTTAATTTTTTTATTTCCCCCCCTCCCCGGTCTCTAAAAGTGGGAGCCCCAGCTTGGTTAAAGCCCAGAACTCTTGTGTGTCTTGCTGTTGCCTCTGGCGCCACAGAAGTAATTGGTCGATGATATTAGGAGTCTTGTAACTTTCAGGGCTGTATATCTTTCCTCTTTTATAAGCTGGCAACAGATGAATTTTAGGAGCTCTTAAAAAAGTTATTGAGAACTTTGGAGCCAGTGGGGCTCCTGCTTGTGCCTTACAGTGATGATGTAAAAGCAATGTCATGTTAGCGCAGGGTGAAGAGGAAAATGGGAAGGGGACCAATAATGCCTAAGGGGTAAGAAAAGCTCTCTTGCTCTGCTCAGGGTTTGGGTTGGAGATTTTCTGATGGCATGTCTCGCTGCTGCAGCAATCATCTCTGCTTGTCAGAATAGGCTGTTTCTAGCTTAGTCCTGTGCTCAGCAGGGCTAAGTCTGTTTTGTGGGTTTGGTTTTTTCCCAAATCACACTTGGTCTGATCGGTGAGGCACATCTCTGCAGCTCTGCCTTCCACAGGGTTCTGTTTGTTTTCATCTCTTGAGCAATTTGGAAATGCGGAGTGCTCCGTGTACACAAGCACAGGCTTGGAAATGCAGAAATACCACTGTGGGCTGAGCTGTCTCTCCAGTCACTTTTCAAGAATTACATCTTACGCTTAAACCAACCTAAGCCGTGGTCCTACACATCTAGGCCATGCTCTTCTGCCAGTGTAACTGCGGCAGGACTTTCACTCAGAGATAAATGACAAGTTACTCCTTGAAATGAGACATTTAAAAATAGATTGTGACTAGCGTCAATCTCTGCAGCCTACGCTGGTGCCACAACTGCTCCTGTTACTCAGTCTTTAACAGTAGACCCCGCTGCACTTACCCAGCGCTTTCTTGAAGAAGCAGCAACAACGGACACTGTGTCTATATCTGTAAGGGCCATGGCAGGCTCCGATTGCTGTATTGAACTCTGGCATCTATCAGTAGCTCATCAAATCTCATTGTCACCACTAAATACTAGTGAATGGGTAGGAGGAGGAAAGAAACACCCTGCTCTGTTGGTGAGCTGTACCTGGTACAGCTTAGTCATCTCCTATGTAGAAGAGATGTACTATGTACACTTACTCATCTCCTATGTAGAGGTTGGGCCAGACTTCATTGACATGAGTGTACTTCGGGCATCCTTTCCAGAAGAGTCGCTCCAATTCAAATGCGCCTGGGGTACAGTAATCCTCATCAGGATCTACTTTGATTGCTGTGTATGCATTTTTCTTCGCAGCGTTCAAACCTGCTGATGACATCTTGTCCATGGAGCAGCGTGCTCAGGATGTGCAAGAAACTGGAACGCAACCAAAACAGAACGTTAAGCACAAAGCAAGCGAGTTCTGCTCCAGTTGTGGGACACTGGGAGCAGCACTGCCCAGGCGTGACTGGGCATGGTGTGAGATGGATGTACCCGCTCTGTGGCGGATGCAGATTCGCACCTGGATTTCTGCCTCCCCTGAACTAGGCGAGGAATACTTTGTTGGATGAGCTAACCAGCAACAGGAACAAAAGCCAAAGGTTTGTGATCACCAAAGTTCGGTCTCCACTGGGAATTTGTTTCCTAGAAAATCCACTGGTAAGAATTTGGTAGGTCTAGCAGCCTGATCCAAGGGATCTAGAGCAGCAGGGGGAACTGGATGGGGGAAATTTAAGATGTTTCTTTATCGTTAATTGCGAGTCTCCTAAAGGCTTCTCCTTTATGTGATTTTCAGCAACTCGGGGAGATTAAATGAGTCCATTCAGGTGAACGCTGTGTGTACCTGTTCTGCTCTTTCAAGATCTTAATGCAGCCCTGCACACTGAACCTCATAGGCTGTTTCCTGGAATGGGAGTTTGCCTTTTGGCGGCACCACTGACTGACTGACAAAATATTTTTTAGCCAGGATGGGCTCAAGGACTTCCTTCTTTTCAGGCTCACTCTCTTTTTTTTTTTTTTTTACCTGGATGCACACATGGCAAATGGGTTGGAAGAAGTACTGATGAACGTGTAATATAAAAGGGAGCAATGGAGCAATGTTATCCTGTAGCTAAAATCAGAGTATCATTAATGTTGCCAAAAACAACACTCTTTGCCTGGCCATGTTGTCAGAGCTGTCTCGCTCAGAACTGACAACCTTAATGTCCCATGTGTTTGAGCTATCTGCTAGTATTGAATCCCTTGGTGTCGGCTTTACACATCTCTTGAAGCTCCAGATTCTCTCTTGCTTGCTGCGATTTCCTCAGCTGCTGTCCCGATTTAGACTTTCCCCTGTAGAGTTTGCCTCCCTCAGCTCTGGAGTCAACAGTTACAGCCCAGTTAAGTGGTCTCCCTCCTCCCCCACTTCCCCAAGGCTGTGCCTTACTTAGGAGCCGGGCACTGATCCCGCGAGCAGCGGGAGCTCAGAGGGCAGCCTAAAGTTTTCACAGAGCTGGTGAGTGAAGTTAAAGGCCAGAGACTAACTTGAGCCTCAGCGCCTCCCTCATCCATTCCTTTACGAAGGCACTGCCTTAGGACACGGCGGGTAACCATATGTTTGCAAGAATATTCTTGTCTCTTGGACAAGTGGGTTCTTTGCATCCATGTTTAACTTTCCTAATCCCCTGCAGCTGAAGTATCTCAGCTGAAAGCCCAGCGAAATACGTGTGATACAGAAACCCTTGCACCAGCAGCAACCACGGCAGCCGCTGCAGGTGCAGTACAGTTGCAAGGGTGCAGTGCTGTGCTCCTTAGCTCAGGTGTGGCACTGCACTGTCCTGCCAGAGGAGTCAGCCGGTATCCCCACACGTACAGGGTTGGGTGTGTTTGTCAAGGGTTTCTCAGATTATTTTTTTTTTATTTTAATTTTTTGATTACTTGAAGAAAACTTTTCAGGGGGAGACAGATAAGGTACAGTACATCCATGTGTTCTCAGTAAAGAAGAAGAAGAAACAAGGGAGTGGTTGACAAGTGATAAAGGTGTACGTCAGAGCTTTTCAGTCCAAATTAATAGCACTGGAAACTCTGCACATTACCAGACAAATACTCATGTCATAGATCCCTGCACAATGTTGTGAGGGACATGGGTGTTGTAGTGTCTCCTTTGGTTTTCTTCTGTGGATTTGTACATTTCTGAAGGCAAAGTACGTTTTGTTCTGCAAGTTGT